ACTTATTATTCTTAGTCGAACAATTCCAAATTGGGCGTTGCTACAGGGATCCAAATAGGGGACTCAAGGCATGGGACATGTGAGGTGTCACCATCCGGTTGCATGATGCACTATTTATGAATAGTGCATCATGCAACCGGATGGTGACACCACATATCCCATGCCTTGGATCCCCTATTTGGGTCCTTGAGGCATTAATGTTCCAAATTTTGTAGATATTTCTCAATTCTTGAATGCTGGATTTCTGGTTAAGTATTAAACTAGCCAGTTAACACCAAAAACTACATTAACAAGGACCCAAAATCAAAATAGCCGAACTTGAACGTTATAAGCTGAGAATAGTTTGATAGGAACCACACTGACTAGATTGCATGAAGATGCACACCTAAATCTTTGAAAATATAAAGCTAAGAATAATTTGATATGAGCGATATACTGACTGAATTGCCTGACCTCAATCTTTGAAAAAATCACACCATTTTTGGCAACAATGTCCAGACCAACCCATGTACAAGGAAACAACACAGGCTCCAATCAGATTTGCAGAAAATTATATTTACATTCTGAAGATCAATTGACGAACATCAATCACTTTATGGAAGTAAATAACATCTTGTATTACCAAAAATAATGCGATTCACAAGACAGATGGGCAAATACCCCAAACTCAAAAAATGGTTGTACCCCCTCCGCTCAAAAGCTTTTCATTTGCAACTGCTAGACCCATCGGGCTCACTTCCACATAAGTTATTACAAAACTGTTTTCCCTGAATACATCTTTTCTTCTTTTTTTCTCGATTATTTATATGACAACACTTTCCTTAGGTCGGGTTTACCATCTTCCAATAGTTCTACCAGAACCAAGTAACGGGGGTGCTTGCAATGAAGGAGCAATGACTAAAATTTCTTCTTTTGCTTCAAGTTTATGTGGGTTTGGAACAAGGGGATGCTGAACCGTTCATATGTCCATTGCCCTGAAGTCCTCCATTATTCGGGATAACACTCGCAGGAGCACCAATGGGCATGGGGAGAGTTGTAGGGTATAAGCTTTGGACTTGTGGAGAAATGTGGCCGGTCACAAGAGAAGGGCTTCCACCGCCTCTTCTCTGTTGAATAGCATGGACCTGGCGAAGTCCTTCCTCATGAATGTGGCTGATTGTCTCGAGCTCTTTCATTGACAGGGACTCCAAGCCCACACCATAAAGTGGAGCATGACGAGCCATTTCATCTCGGAGGGAATTCTCAAGATTTTGGATGTATTGCTGCAACGAAATGAAGAGATTAAGCCTCAGATACGAGGGAGATTTTCTTTTTATCTCCTTTTAAAAGTCAGTTCAGAAGAAGAGAGATCAAAAGAAAGTGTGAAGAAATAACGACCACCGAAACAAATTTGTAGCTTTAGATATAGAATCATAAGGCTAAATCTAATATACATTAAATCATATTTACTCGATTGAAGAACGAGAAAGAGAAGAAAATGGCCTGAGAAAGCGACTCACAAATCCATCATATTCTTGGAAACAATGATCTTCTTATTAAGTGTTGAAAACCTTGTGCATGCGATTATCCTTAGATGCCACCAAAAATCAGAAGTTATAAGGTTACGCATTGGAGATCCTTAGAGACTTTTAATAGAACACCACTCACAAATCGATTCAGACGCATAATTTTTTTCGCTTAGTCTTCAACTTCAGAAGCACAAGGCAACTTGAATAATTTAAGTTAGTATTTAATAAGAAATGGCCTGTGTTGGTTCCAACATTGAGAAATCATAGAATAACCCTGTCAGTTTGATATTGTCATTTTTCTATTTCTTCCCTTAATACTACTTGTGAGATAATTGTTGGCAAGTTTTTTCTGTAGAATATACGTTCATCTCTCCTCTTCAGAAATAATGGGGGACATGGAAAACAATTGACCAACAATCATTCTCTTAAGGAAGATTCCAATACTTACGCGTTCTCACTTCTGTTAAGTTTATGAAACCTTGCCATTCTAGATGTCAACTAAAAACGACTGCAAATAATTTCCCCATCTACAATGTAATTTTCAGTAAATTCAAGTACGAATATTTTTCCAAGTCTCAAGGAAATTAAAGCGTGCATGCAACATCAGTATTAATATTTTTACGCACACTTGAACCAGCATTAAAATTTTGCTAAATGAATTAGCAAGAAGAGTAAACTTTTCTGCAATACAAGAACATCTCAAACTACCAGTACAATAGGTCATGCTTGGAAGCTTGTGAGGGAAAAGAAAATCAAGTTGAAAATTTCTAGCCTTCAACTATTTTCACATGATAACGCTGCTTGATCTGATAGCATGTGGAAGCCTAAGATATTCAGTAACAAACTTGTATTAAAAACCCGTCCACGAGCGGTGATTATTGAACCATTATGAGCAACACCAAACAGCAAGTTACCTATATACATTCAAGGTTCAGTTCAATTAACGGTCAAGGATGGTCATGACTCACACTAAACTGGTCAGATTTGCTTCCAGGACCCTCAGCTCTAGGATCGTACTAAAGTTACGCAACAGAGATCTTTTTGGCTTGTCTATAAGAAGGTAACCAAACACAGTTGTCACGGGACAAGTAAAGTGGGATTTGAATTGATTATGGCAGTTTGAATCTATTTTGACCAGTAACAACATCTAGCTTGCTTCTAATTAGTTTGTCTAGATGAACTTGTTAAGTTGGCTTTTAAGCTATCAGTGAGATTGATTAATAAATCAATATTTCAAGGAGAAGTTTATCTCCTATGGAACTCTCATTTTCATAGCACTGTAGATCTTGTTAAGTTTGCTTTTAAGCTATCAGCGAGATTGATTAATAATCAATATTTCAAGGAGAAGTTTATCTCCTATGGAACTCTCATTTTTCATAGCACTGTAGATCAATACTCCCAAAAAGACTTCAGAAACGACTTTAAGGATGATGAAGTATAAATGCGGAAAAGAGTATTAAAACCGGTTGCGATACTGGTCAATCTTCCACAATCTGCTATGTACCTTCCAGGACCCTTTTTTCCAACACAACAATATTGTTTTTTCTTCCTAAACCAACAAAGCAGTTCAAGCAGATTGTAATACTCTTCACACAAATGGTTAGCTACTTGCCAATTGACAAGAAGTAACCTAAACTATCATGTATCAATACTGGCACAACTTCATGGCATCGAGTGATTTATTTATCTTGCTCTTGTGTTGCAGGAACTTAGATGGCATGGACAAGAAAACTTTGGAGTAATTTTATAAGATTTTCAATTTATGGTGACTCTCTCTTTTTTATTTTATTTTTTAATAGGAGTTTGGCACCATCTGGCAAAGAGTTACACATCAACAGACATACAAACATCAATTCTTCTATGGGTCATAAACTTCCACCCATGCTTCATACCTGACTGCATATTGATGAGAAAAGACAGACGAGGAAAACAAGTATAGAATTGGAGAGAACAATATCTGTATTATACTGTGTCCACTGTTTATGCTGACTTCATTTCCTATTTTCAAATTACAAATACGAATACTTATGCTGCTCCACAGCCACTTTGATAGGCACAAGGAATTGAGCCAGGATACACGTATATGCCATTAACAGTATCATCATAAAAAATCATTTGACCATTTATAATCCTGGAGTTCTAGGCAGGAGAAATTAGAAAGGAAAAGTTGAGGGCTGTAACACCCAACAGATGATAGTTAGCATTTCATGCAAAAGCTGATGCACTATGCATAGAGAGGTCTCAGGTAATAACAACCAGGTTGCTGCTAAGTGACAAAGACACAAAAGTGAAAGCTACAACGTGTATGCGATGATCTGTCATTGGCAGAGGTTACTAGTAATGTTCTATATGAAAAGCAGTAGTTTAGCCAAAAGTTTAAGCTACCACAACAATAATTCCAGAATGACATGTTGAATCAAACATTGTCATGCTGAGCTTTACAAGCTGACATGTAAGGTGCAATGGGGGGCGGAAAGTCCCCTTACACGCATCGTGCGCAACGCGCAAGGCAATGTGCGCGCCTTAGTGAAGCGAAGCGCATACCACAAACAGAATTATTTCATAAATATCAAGTTAAACAAGCAACATGTTTATGACTTTTGGTAGAAAAAATATATCAAGATAATAATCTCGCCTATCAAATCACAAAATAGGGTCTAAGTTCATAATTTTAGCACTAGGTAAAAGAGTGTTAATGTCAATTTAACTCTACCCTTCCATATTTCATTAATTAATCACGCTGAAAAGTATAACAAAACATTTGTTATGAAATCAAATCACAGATTCATAGTTACTAACATTCTAACAAGCAGAATATCTAGAATAAAATATCTAGATCTTGATTCAACAATGCTTCCTACATTAACTCAACAAAAAAGAAAAATAATAATGAAGACATGCAATCAAGTTCTAGGTTATTAATAACTGATGTCAGTATCTGGAGTAATACTTTGTGATTTCTTAATCAATGTTCTGGTCTTCCAGATGTAGTAGTAGTAACAAAAGGAGAAAAAAGGGGGGGAAATGAGAAACAGAACATGATGAAAGTAGACAAATTTGGAGTAAAAGGAGAAAGAAAATGAACAAAGGCAAAAAAAGAAGGCAAGAGGGAAGGAATAATTAGATGTTGTAGAAACAGTTGGACAAGGATGAGTAGTGAGGTGCACCAAGGCGCAAGGCACAATCAGACGCAACGAGGTGCGTGCCTCACCTACACGATGTGCCCCGCACCTCATGCGGGGTGCATTTCTAGCACCCAACGTCCAAGGCGACCACCTCAGTGCATCCGAGATAACACTGTTAACAGTATCATTAAAATAAAAAATCATTTGACCATTTACAATCCTGCAATTTTAGGAAGGAGAGATTAGAAGGGAAAACATGAGGGTTGTGGCACCCAACAGAAAATAGTTAGCATACCATGCAAAAGCTGATGCACTGTTGCACAGAGAGGTAATAATGACCAGGATGGTAATAACGACCAGGTTGTTACAAAGTGACAAAGACACAAAAGTGGAAGTTACACAAAACCTTCGACTCATGCATCTGATGATCTGTCATTGGCAGACCAGTAACGTTATACATGAAAAGCAGTAGTTTAGAGAAAAGTTTGAGCTACCACAACAATTTCAGAATGACATGTTGAATCAAACATTGTCAGGCTGAACTTTATATGCTGACACAGGATCCCTACAGCAGAATACTGCAGTGAGCATCCTAAGCTGTGTGGAATCTTAAAATTGACAAGGATATTCATTATCTAAATGCAAACAATATCTACTTCCCGTCTTCCAGCAGTTGCATATAGGTTAAAGGGTTTATAGCTGGCGAAATAATCACTTAATAATGGAAATTTTATATCCTGATTTCAACATTTATGATTACTTGGGTACAAAACAGACCTAAACTACTTGTAGATCTCGTCTGTTGAGTTAACACCGATTCTTTTTCAATACAATAAACTATAATAAGGCCAACCTATATTTGTAAGAAATTTATTTGCAGCAGTCATCTATAAAACAGATTAAATTCATTACTTTGTGTATGGTTGTGAGCATTGAAGTAGCACATGAGACATAAATTTTAGATTGGTTTGTCATAACAAAGATGTAATTCAAAACCTGGCATGTCTGCAATCTTGATTCCATTCCATCAATGTAGGCTTCACATCTAGCAACTTGCTCTTCTTTCTCCCTTTTTTCTCCTTCAGTTTGTCCAACTGTTTTTGTTAACCGTCTGACTTCATCTTCGAGCGATTGTCTAACTTCTTCTCGACTCACAGTCTCTGTAGCATACCGTTTTAATTCATCATCAAATCTTTTTCTTGCAGCTTCAGCATTCTTCAGCCTTTCAGCTAAGGCATTTTTCTCCTTCATTACTCTCTGCATTAGAAAAAATAGTAAGAAAATAGGAACCATTCTAAAGAGAAATGTGTTATTTGTCTTAAGAGAGTAAGTTAAATACCTTCAATTCATCTCGTTTCCGAGATTTCAACTGAGAAAGCTGTGTTTCAGCATCATGAAGACGAACCTGAAGAGCTTTCCGGTCAGATGAAAGCCTTCTAATCTCCTCATCCTTTTCTGCACGTACCCATTCTAATTGGTTTTCTAACTCAAGTATTTGCTCGCAGTGGTCTTTCTTTTCTCTGGCAGAACGTTCCCCTTCTGCCTTCAGTTCAGACTGACTCAAATAAAGATAAGAATGGTTAGTTGAAGATCAAATTAACAGCCTCAAACAATAATAAGCCAATTCAAAAAATTGGTACCTTAAGACGGCTCGTAGTGGCCTCCGATTCACTTAACCTTTGGATCAAAGCAGTTTTTTCATGAGCAAAATTCGAAAGCTCTGCTTGCCTTTCCTCTCGAGACCGAATATTTTCATCCTCAATGGCACATAATTGGTGCCAAAGAGTAGCACGATCAACTTGAGCAAGCTCAACAACTTCTCTCATCATGTTTAAAACTGGTCTGGCAATTCCATCTTCCTCTCTTACTAGAAATACCAAAACGTCCATATCTATATCAGCTACTCGGCAATTATCTGAACTACTTGTTGCACGATCAACAAGCACCTTCAACATCCTAACCCGGTATTGCTCGTCTGAATAAATCTTGAACATAATAGCATATAGCATCCTCACAAAATCCTGGACTCGAGTATTCCGGGAGAGAGATAATACTTCTCCAAGAGAAAGAACTGATGCAAAATCATCCTCTTGGATGCTCAACGATTCATTTTTCCCATCAATAAGGGATTGTTTACCCTGTGAATCATCCAGAAGAGACCGAGATTTACCAGCTAATCTTCTAGAATGACGTCTTTCCAAGATCATAGCTACTGATCTTAGTCCAATGGCGCCTCGGATTACAGCTCTCTCAAAAACTTGTGATACATCAACAAACATGCCTGGTATGGACAACATCTCTACCAATATGTAGACATCTGAAAGATGATGGCAACTATCTATAACCTGTTCGTGCCCCGCGTGCATTTCTTCTGCGGATAACCCATTTACACCATAAGTAAAGATACCACAAGGTGCTGTCATGCAATTTCCATCTAATTCACAGTCAGAATCAATGTCCCTTAGTATAGCTTTGGCTACATCTTCCCAAGTATGTACAATGTTTGTTAGAATATCCAACACACATTGTGGAACTTCAGCAGCCAGACTTTTCAACTTTGAACGGACAGCTCTGACCTATAGGAGAAAATATTAAAAAAATATTAAGAAAAGGAGGAAAAGGCCCACAACAGCAGAGGATCCAATTAAAAGAAAAAATCAAAGTTCAGATAGGCGTGTAAGCATACGGCCTGTGGCAGATGATGGCACTGGGATGCAGCTTTGAAAACAAAACTTATAGCCGCTACCAGGGGTTCATCATTAGATTCTGTTAGAAGTTCAAAAGCTTGTATTAGTACACGTTCCCACACCTCACTGCCAAACTCCAGATGACTCAGAGCACCAAGAACCTGTGTGGAGATAAAGGATCAAATGAGCAGTATACATTACAGTAGAATTGCCAAAGGTATGCAAAATGCTTGATATGAAGTCTGACGAGCTGCAAATAGTCTATCCATAATTTAGAATGATTACTTCAATCAACTGAATGCACGTAAACTTCATGACGAGGAATTCATATACTATCATATCCGCTAACCGCCGAAAGACCGCGTTCAGCATCAGGCTTCTGAAGGGCGATTAGAAGTGGCACAGCAGCAAGTAATGCCTGAATTGATCACTAATTACGGCACCAAGGGAATAAATCTGTTGAACATGTCTTGGAGCTTTATCTAGAACAAGGGATTTTGTCTAATGGAAAAATGTTATACATTCAGTTAATATACCCAGAAATTCTACTGCAAGAAATTTATATAAAATTTTATATAAGCTACCTTGGCAGCTCGAGTGAAGCCATCATCTGCAGGCAGATCTGCAGCAGATGTCTCCGGAGGACAAATGGGCTGTTCTGGATAGCTCTTGACAGGTATCCCATTTGTGTTCAGTTCTGAGCTTTGAACTGCGTGAGATTGAGATATTGCATCTACTTCAGGTTCCAATCTCTGACACACACGAAACTGTGCACAGTCTGTTACTTCGCTATCTCCACTGCGTTCTGATGGAGTACTAGCTCCATTAGAACTAGGAGAAGGCTTGCCTGTATCAGAGGAGTCGTAACCGGTTCTTGCTTCCGAAGGTTGACAACACTCAACCATTATATCTAGGAGTAAATCAATGATAGCTTGTTGTAGGACTTTAACACCCATCAACAAATTCATTAGGCTTGGAGAATTAGCATCGTCCCTTGCAGCATCTTTCTTGTTCCCATTATTTCCAGATAGCTTAGTGGGAAGGAGCAAGCGTTTCACTTTAGCAGGGTCATCGAGGTAGACGCGTAGACCAGTAAGAAATCCAGCAATAGCGCCAGCATCCATGAGAAGTTTCTCCCTTAAAGTAACTTGGGGTTGAGAAGGGTTATCACCATACGTAAGATGGAAACCTGCCCGTGATAGAAGATTACGGAACATATCCTCCTCATCTCCACTAATACCTTCACTGTCCTCAGAATCAATGAGGTCATCAGGGTCTGTTGATAGTGCATCCTGGTCATCCTCTGATGCCAAAACCTGTAAAGAGATTCCACGCACCAAAAATGTGAAGGGAAAAAAATCCCAAATCAAATGAAATTAATCTGGAAAAAAGCATCTCGTAAAAGACTACGGAAGTAGACAAGTAGGAATCAAAAAAAATAAAATCAAATAGAAAATAACACTGATGAAAACATGTATTAAATTTAATGTTTAAGAATATTTACAATTCATTAACTAGGCACAGCCTGAAACATGGATCATACACAGAGGGGAAAACATGAGAATCTCATTAGGTTCTCACCTGTAAGAACAGGAATATGAATCTAATTCATTTAAAGCACATAAGAAAAAGGAGGATTCAATTGTACACTCCCTGATGGTTATCTATACATAGCTAACCCGCGCAATTCATGTTAAAGGCAGTAAAAAAATTGATATATGAAGAATGCAGGTCAGCAAGCATAAAATACTCAAAACAAACAACTACATAAGATGGAAACCTTGTATATTTTATTAGCACTCTTATCATAACATAAGCTTACATCAGTAATTATCACCCTTACGATAAAATTGATGTGGTTTTTGGCGGTGATGATGTGTAGCTTTCTATCACGGCACTGGGTAAGCTATCATTGATTAAATTGTTCAAGAGGATGAGGAGAGACATGTTTTAAACGGTTAAAGGTTCGTCTTGCTTTGATCTTTTCCAAGAAAAGATATCCAAGTACAAAGAATACCATACATTTAGTTTGCTCTTGAAGTTCACAATGTAACAGAATAACATGTACCTAGCAACAAATAGTGTAGCACAATAAGAGAAAAAACAAAGCAATAAGACGATATATACATTCGGCCAACTATGTGAGTATAATGACCAAGCTTTGACATTAGTTTGCAATACTCTCACTTCCATAATCAATACTCTCACTTCCATGATCTACCTGAAATCTGAAAATAAGTATTTTGTAGAGCAGGTTAAAAAGGGAATTAGATGCATGCACAAGACGTGTCAATTGTTCATAACCAAGCTGGTTTAAGATCTTCATGAGTTGTGATATTCTTTTGAGTGTTTATAGAGAAGCACACCCACACTTCATATTAATTATTACTTATCCCCATTTCTTCCAGTTGTAGGTGAAAAATGTTGCCTTCAACATCCAATTAGTCAATTAGTAAAATCTCTCAATCAGAATTCTACAACTTCACCGTCTAATGATGGCTTAATATAGATCTTTCAGATCTATCTAGGACCTGAAAGATTATCATGTATAGAAAAATACCTCAGAGATACATAAGTTCTACATAGCACAGACACAGATAGGGGGAGAAGACAAAAAAAGACATGGTACATGGATATGAAAATTGTAACCAAATGTAGCCTATGAATACACCATAACATGACATTACATAGATGAATATGATAAGAAAAATATAACCTCTTGTAATAAGAATCGTCTAAATGCAAATGATAAACTCTAAACCTCCCTCCATATGAACTATGAAAAGTGAAAACTAAACATCAATTCCATCCCAAACCCAGTCATCTCCAAGCCGGCAAAGGCTCCGGCATGTGTTGTTTGTATTGAAAACATATCGACCAAGCATCTTGCACATATTGATGCATACACATGCTGCATATGGAAAAGAAGCCTCAAGAGCGTGATTTAAAAATTATCATGCCAAAGAAAATGTTTTACCCTAAACAGGCAATAACCAAAAATTGATGGGTTTTAAGAACACAAAGAACCATCATATGGTCTTGTTTCCTTATAAGACCATATGCTTCTTCCGTCTAGTAATGGATTTTAAAGTTGTTTCTTACTTTTCATGCAGCAGGAGACAGATGTAAGACGCAAGCTCCAGATTAATGTAACAATACTTGAGGAGTCTTCCACAATCAATATACAGTATATACCACTATCTAACAGTTTGATGATGTACTGGTGTATGGGATAAATAGACTAGAAATAACAATGAATAAAAATATGTTAAAGAACATGATCTAAAAAATCTACTTGATTCAACATTTAGTATCAACTCAAATACCAAACTATAAGGCATGGTATTTCTCGCAATCACCATTGTTTCTTGTACTAGAAAATTAATAAATAATAACAACTAAAAGTGACAAATGCTCTACTAATCCACGTATGATGGTGTTCCTATAATTGTGAAACACCTTGTTTCCATTTGCGGATATATGTAAGGAACTACACAAACACAAACTTCCAAATAAACTATATGTAAGGAACTGCACAAACACATAATTCCAGATAGACTATGTGCA